AACTCTGTTACCATAGTTCTGAATTGGTAGACGTCGTTCAGTGTCCTCCATCAAGAGTGTCGCCAGACATACGACGCAACCGACCATCGAGTATCTGGCAGCAAGCGTCTCTGCAGGACAATCGGGCTCTCCCAATTCCCGGAGAGTGTCAGCTTCATTAAGGCACCAGTTGATCAAGTCCATAATTCTTCTTTAGGTTTTTAGAGAACAAGTCTGGGAGACTCTCTTAGGGTTAGAGAATAATCGAGACTATACAAAAGACATGAGAAGCCAAGCAGTTTTAAATTTCTCTCAGTGTCAGGATCTCTATCCTGTTCCTCCTGCTCAGATCTGCTTCCGTCCTTCAGTTTTCTCTACACCTCTGAAAACCTGCTGCTGTCTGTGTTTGCTGTTCTTTCAGTGATTCCAGTGAAAGTGGAGGTGGAGGAGGGGGCGGAGTCTGTCCAGCTGCCCTTCAAAACAACAAAAAACCTGTCAGGGGAAATTCAAGTGATATGGGAACGCTACGAGCCGTTCCAGAAGGCTCACGTGTTTACGAACGGCCCAAACCAATATGAAGAACAGCACGAGGTTTACAGAGACCGAACTGTGATGAACAAAGACCTGCTGGAAACTGGAGACCTCAGTGTGACCCTGAAACAGCCCACAGAGAGAGACAGTGGAGAGTACAAGTGTTTGGTCTGGAGGAAGGGAACCTTCATCAGAAAGAAAACCGTGAAGCTCAAAGTCAAAGGTTGGTTTGTCTGTTTGTTTGCTGGCTTGTGCGATTGTGTCTGACTGTCTTGTGTCTCCTCTGCAGGTCCAGGATCAAACAGGGGACATCAGGACCAGAAGCTGCTCCATTGATCCGACTCTGAGTCTTACCCTCACCACTCTGCCTTTTTGTTCATTTAGTGAGTTTTAATGTCACAGCGTGATAATACAGGAACACACGTCTCACTTTTACGTCCAGTCACATCCTCAGTCTGTCTCTGCTGTGTGCACAGTCCTTCACTGTGTGTGATCAGCTATTGTTCCATGTTCCTCGTCTGTTTCTCACCATCTTTACAGTCTGTGCTGTTTAACCTTTTTAAGCCATTTTTGGGCTTTTTCTGCACTTTATTTAAACACTTTCAAAGAAAGGTTTTACTTCACTTTACTTCACTTATCATTTGGTTTTCTTGTGTCTTTTGTATGCATTATGTTGCACACATAGTGTTAGGTATTTTAGTACCATGGTAGCATTTACTGGATATTGTTTTATAGTGACATTAT